AAGACAAAAACTGATTAATATATAATTAATTTTTTAAACAAACATTATTTTCTTTTAAATAAACAAATTAAATATCATTTACAGTTTTCCTTCTGGAAGGCATCGTCTGTAAGTAAACAAGTGGATCTTATGGTAGCCCCGCACAAGCTACCCGAATTCTACGAAATGATGGCGCAGATCCAAGCACCATACGAAGTTTATATTGAAAATGTTCAGACATTAATCAATCGGGCAGCGCCAGCAAATGTATCAATGAAATTTGATTTTAAAAATTACCACCATCTCGATACAATTTACAAGAATCTAGATGACTTGGCAAAACAATATCCCGATATAGTGCAAATTATAGTAGGCGGCAGGACATATGAGGGACGTAAAATCAAAGGTGTCAAGGTTTCTTTTAAAGCGAACAATCCTGGAGTCTTTATTGAAAGTTGCATTCATGCCAGGGAATGGATCACGCCAGCAACTGCCATGTACATCTTCCATCAATTGCTGACAAGCAACAACACGGAGGTCAGGACTCTGGCTGAGAGCCATGATTGGTATATCTTCCCAGTGTTCAATCCCGATGGATACGTGTACACGCACACTACGGTAAGTGCTGTTTTATAATGTCATACAAAGCATTGTTAACTAATTTATAAATTAACGCTTAATTATACGAATATTTTTAATTTGTTTCAGAATCGATTTTGGAGAAAGACACGTAAGCCGTACGGTCGCCATTGTTATGGCTGTGACCCCAACAGGAATTGGGATTACAAATGGAACAGTAAATTTATATTATATAAGAAAACTATAAAAATCAAAAATTAAATAATATTCTAATAAAAAGTCGAGATTATTTATGAACTTTAGAGAGTTTATATTAGAATGTGCTCGATGTTTCTTAATATTATATATATTTATGTATAATTTAACAATTTCAGCTGGAGGTTCTAGCAATGACCCATGTTCCGAAATCTATGCCGGACCTATGCCGTTCTCCGAAATTGAGACAAAGAGCATGTCCAAATATATCCATTCCATTTCCGACAAATTCTATGCGTATATTGGGCTCCATAGCTATTCGCAACTATTGATGTTCCCTTATGGTTATACAACAGATCGTATTGATAACTACGACAACTTGGTGAGTAATTTTAATTGTAAAACAAATATAGCTTTGAGAAACTAATAGTAAAATATTTATGTACGAAAAACTAGTATTAAATTAATAAAACAATTAGTTTCTTATAATTATTCAGTTGAAAGGATAGTAAATATGTCTCTCTCATATTTTTTCGTTCAAAATTATAGAGTTTTAAAGCTTAAAATCTCTATTTTAAAAGTAGTAATATTATATATTTTTAACTCAAATTTATATATAATTGAATAATTAATAAAATTGGATAATTTTTAATAACAAAGTTATGAGAGCAATGAAAGTTAGAATGTTCCTTTTATAAGAGTTAACCCACAGATAACTCAGTAACAAAAAAGGAACATTAAAAAAAATGATTTTATAGAGAAAATTTTAAACTTTCACGTTAGATAGTCGAAAATTTTTACACATATTTTTTAGGCACGTGACAGGTCCACAGAATGAAAAAAAATTTCCCATTTTATCCAGCTCGTAATTTTTTATATGTAAAATTTACCAAACTGGTAGAAACTAAAAAATATATGTAGTAACCCTTTCGGAAGTAGACATTTTAAACCTTAGAAACCTTTTTTGAAATTTAAATTTCACACATTTTTTACGAATATATTCTACACATAATTTTGAGCTAAAAAATACGATACCTAACTTACAAATCAATGCAAACGCAATTATATATATGTATATTGAGAAGGAAATAATTCTTCACATAAATTTAACAACGATTTTAATAGTTTAATAGTAAGTGATAAAAGAATTCAATGATAAAAGAATTTGAAGTAGTTCATCATGATCTTACTGTTAACACAACTATTTATAAATAACAATTTGAAACATCGTATATGAATAATTGAAGATTATTCTAATTAATTCAAATAATTATTTATAAAAATAATAGAATATTACAAAGTTTGTATTTGATTTTTATGATGTTTTAGTATGATATTGGCATGAAAACAATTACAGCTCTCGCAAAGAGATATGGAACTAACTACACAGTCGGAAGTATTGCCGAGACAATATGTATGTAGAAAAAAAATTCATTCATTTTTCCCTCTCTCTCTTTTTCTCTCCGTCCTTCTATCTACCTATCTATCTGTCTTTATATCTTATCTATGCTTAAATACTTTTATATTTTTTTCGATTGATTTATCAAAGAATTTCTTCTTTTTATCATACTAAAGACGTTGCGAAATTGATACAATATTATTGCACACATTCCGAGTTTATGATAATTATATACAAAAATATGATTTTTTAAACTTATTCATTTTGTATTTAGATGTGGCTTCCGGAAATACTATCGATTGGATAAAAGGCGCATATAATAAATCAATCATCTACACTTATGAATTACGTGATGAAGGTCAATACGGCTTTTTGTTGCCCCCTGAGCAAATTATCCCAACTGGAGAAGAGACTTTGGATTCTATCATAGCCATGCTTAAAGAAGCAAAGATTAAAAAATATTGGTATGAATTTGACACCATGCGGTGTTTACCTATTTTTCATCATGTTGGTAGTGATATGTACATCAACACAATTTAAATATACTTACATTAAACTATAATCCGAGAATAGTATCTGGAATGTTTTCTACATCCTAGCGTCGCAAAAATGGAGCTTACAATTTTTTATATCAATTGGAAATTCATATTTATTTTACAGTTGAAGTTTCCGAGACCTAATGTGCATAATAGAAAGAGTTTATGACGCGAATTTGTAATCCAACCTACTGAAACCTGCTGAAGTGTAAAAATCATCTTAAATGATCGTTTACGTAATATAAGAATTCACGTATTGTAACAATATATATTATAAATTCGAAATATAATGTGTTGAATATGAAATGAGGTTATAGGTACTTACAATATATTTATAACAAATAAATAAATGACAATGTATAACTGTAACAATTAATGTAAAATAGGAAAAATAGAAAATAGCAAATAATAAAATAATTTTCGTGAAATTATCTAATACAAAACAAACTTTGTAGTAAATAAATTACTTGTCAAAACTCATTTCAAATTAAAAAAATATTTTAAAATTACTAATATTATTACGATTAATTTGTACAATTTATAAAGTTCATATAACCTTTCAATAAATGTTTATTTTTCTCGAATTCCAAAAAATATAAATTATATGAAATATTCAAAAATATTTCATGTAATTTATAAATATATTTACAAATAATTCAATTTACAATTTATCATAATATAATAAAAAATAATTTTCATTATATATCAATGTGTGTATCAATGCCAATCGAGTCTAAACACTAGGTGTAGTTGTGTGTCAAATTCTTTATTGTATTAGAATATATACGTTTCGATCCTTGTATCGGATCCTTATCAATATTTCTTAATTATTACGTTACATCAATGTGCTCCCTAGAACAATGATATAATGTTAGTATGTGTGAAATTCATGCTACTCTTCATGTCTATCGTCAACATGCAAAATGATTCATTATATAATAATTATATATTATCATATAATATTACATAATACAATAATAAATTATTATTATTGTAAATATAATAAAAATAAATCATTTTTTATTCTGGAGAAGCAAACTGTACGTATAGATGACTTTTTATCGTAGAGGAGACTGGGGATAATTATAACGGAAGTTGTAACAATGTGCAACAATGCACTCAGAAAAAAGTTTTGTTGATATATGACCAACAAAAAATTTTTCGTTGTCCTAACCAAAATTTAGTTATGCTAACAAAATTTTTTGTTAGAATAACATAAAAGTTTTTGTTAGTCACATATTCTAACAAAAACTTTGTTGTCCTAACCAAAAATTTGGTTAGAATAACCAAATTTTGGTTAGGACAACGAAAAACTTTTTGTTGGTCACATATCAACAAAACTTTTTTCTCAGCGTGCGTATATATATATATGTATTGTAATAAATATGTTAAACAAGGACTCTCTCTCTCTCTTGTTAAAATCACAAAAACAACCTAAATCTGGGCTAATGAGGGTCAGCGCGAACGGAGGTGCGCAATAAATCTTTCATAAATAATTTCATTAATCCATAGGATGTGTTAATCTCATCTTTATTTGAAATCTTGAAATCTTGAACGTTTCGATTCTCTTTGGAATCTTCATCAGCAATCTTCTTAAACCACATTATTATATTTCCCGAATATTTGATTTAGAGTCATTCGCAGGTTGTCAAAACTGTAGTATTATCCACACGATCGTCAAATCTCATCATGAAACGTTGGATAATATGTTAATATTCACAACTAAACACATTTTATGTAAATTTGTTTGAACTCCGTCCAGTCCATTTGGAGTGATGAATATTCATCAACCTCTAACGAGACGTTAATATTGACAAAGGTCGGATCGACGGAAAATAATATCATACACTGAGAAAAATGGTCTGGTTGGATTAAACAGTAATTCTGATAGAAAATGGACGAATCAGAATTTTCTGGTTATGTCTATTAGAATTCTAGTTGAAATAACTAGAATTCTGATTAATATAATTATTCTGGTAAAAATAAGAATTCTAGTAGATTTTACTAGAAATATAGTATCAACCAGAATTCCGGTTATCTCAACTAGAATTCTAATAAATTTAACCAGAAATTTCTGATTCGTCCATTTTCAACCAGAAATTTTTTTCAGTGTAATAAATATAAAATATAAAAACAGTACATTCGTATTCAGTTGCTGATTTATGCGTGTATTATATCATTTAAATGATAAAAGAGAAGATGAGTTATAACATTGCGTATATTTTTTCAATGATAAGAGATAAAATGACAATGTAAACAACAAAAGTAGTCAATAGCTATATATTGAGGCCTGTATTTGCCTCATGACATTAATCAGACGTGCGCCGCATGTAAAAGAAGTTATATGTGCTCAGATAAGCCATGTAAGTGTAGATTTACGATGTTATACTTTTTTGCTTTAAACTTTCAAATAAAATGCTTTTTATTGTGTTTTCATTTTATTAATTCTAAAATACGTTTTTTCAAGCTGTATGCATGTTTTTTTTTTATATTTTTAAGTGGTTTCAAATATATTTATATAAATTTTTATAATATCGGTTTGGGATTAAAAGTATCGCATCATCAGGGTACGTTGTAACACCATTATAATTAACGGTAAATGTTAAGAAGAACCCGCTCACCTCAAATTTTGATAAAAATACACTGAATCGATGCGAATTTTCGCGTAAAAATAAAGATTTGACAAGAAAAAATGTCGCTCTGTTTCGTGAACCAAAATATTTTAAGTTGACAACTATTCAGGTTAGGAAATATGTCACAGCCACGAAATACTGAATACTAAATTTAGTTAAAATTTATGAACCAGTGATTTTGCATCTGTTATCTGTAAGAATTGTAAAGTGGAGATATTAATTAATTATGAAAAAAACAGCGAATCTAAGATTGTTCCTGTATGTTAGCCATGATTATCCTTTAAACAGTGATGGCAAATTTCGCCTATTTTTTCCTCGAATTTCAAACTTTTTTTTATGGCAAATAATACTATTAGATGAAACATTAATCCCGGTAAAATTTCAAGATGAGCATAGGCACGATTCCGGAGATACAAGGGGGTAAAAGTAATGATTTCCAATCAGGGTGTATTGCATAAGGAAGAATGTGTAGCTGAAGTTCATTGGTAATATTGAGGGTATATTCTGTCGAATGGATCATCTACGATTCATTGTTCAGAGAACGATTTACTATTCACCGCTATTTCATTTATAAGGTAGTTCATGTAATGACAATTATATGGTTCCTTGGATTTGCTCAATATCATGGAATAAAAATATCCAATCCTGGAATATGCAATGTATCTATCACGATTCAGAAAACAACCTTGCATAGTGAGAGATAAGGAGACTCACATTAAAAAACCACCCCAATCTGTGAGAGGCAAGGAGACTCACATTAAAAAAGCACTCCAATCTGTGAGAGGCAAGGGGACTCATGTTAAAAAAGCACCCCGATCTGTGAGAAGCGGCGTCAAGTATCACTTCAACTCCATCTATCTCGGGGAATTTTCATGCTAGACGGAAACTAAGGTTATATTTGAATCCGGCGTAAAAAAAATCCATAAAAAACGATATGTTTCACTTCGTTAAATATATATTTTTTTATTCCTTGGTATGAATACTTGAAGAGTTTCGTGTACTTTCATGGATATGAGAAACCATCGCTTTCATCCCTTTATATCTCCGGAACCGTGTCTATGCTCATCTTAAAATTTCTCTAGGATTAATGTTACATCATATAGTACTATTTGGTATAAAAAAAAGTTTGAAATTCGAGGTCCAAAAAATGGGCAAAAAAACAGATCTTTTTGCCATAACTTTTTCTTCAAATTTGTCGCATTATACAAGAGTTGCATCATCACTCTAATTTGCACTATTTATGTAAACAATTATTTTTTTATCACAAAATAATTACAAGTGTATAGAAACACAAGCAATTATTCTTGACTGAAAATTCGAGAATACATATCACTTGGGTTAAATTAGGAAGTATAATATATGTAAACTTTATTAACACAATTTTTTTAAATAATATTTTTAAGTAGAAATTCGAGAATATATACTATTTAAAGTAAGTTACGTAATATGACGTGCATATATATGATTTTAATTGATACAATTTTGTAATTAAGGAAAATTTTCTACGTCAATAGAAACCTTGATCGCGCAAATTAGTTCGATAATGCAACTTTGCGTGAGAAACTACATATTTATAGTAGCACAAAAACATCGCCAGCAAGTCTGAAAAAATCAGGTATATTAAAAATGCAAGTTGTATTTTAAAAACAGAATTATTTGAAAGGCATACACCACAACGCAAGATGTTGGTAGCTATTATTTTATATTTCAACCGAATTCACATTAATAAATGTTTCGGTCTTAAATTAGACCATCTTCAGTATTATAATACAATACTTTTCCCTATCATTTACACATACGTATAACTTCAAACAAAAGACGCAAATTTAAATTTATTACACGTTATATCTTGTAAAATTAATCACGCAAAATGCTCGTTTATAACTAAATATATTTTCTCAGAAGAATTAACTAAAAAGTTAATATTACTTCTCCCACATAACTCTTGAATTACCCTCTCCATTGTCTTCTCTACGGAAATTGTTTATAAGCGGTTTGTCATGATTAAAGGGGAACATAACGTCTTTACTAGTTGAATTGTTATAACAAGTTATCCACGTCTTGAAAATATTCATTGGAAGTTCATTATAACACAGGTATTATATTATTTATTGTTTTTAAATTAAATTATTATTATTAATTAATAACATTCATGTTCATTAGAATCAGGAAACTTTGTGTTCAATAATTAGAGACGAATCATGGATTATCTGACTAAGCGTAATAATAGACAAATTCCTCTGGAGCATAGGACGAAACAAATTTTGGACTACCTTCACTTTTTAGTTAATTCTCCTGAGAAAATATATTTAGTTATAAACGAGCGTTTTGTGTGATTAATTTACAAGATATAACGTGTAATAAACTCAAATTTACGTCTTTTGTTCGAAGTTATACGTATACGTAAGTGATAGGAAAAAGTATTGTAATACTGAAGATGGTCTAATTTAAGACCGAAACGTTTATTAATGTGAATTGGATTGAAATATAAAATAATACCTACCAACATCTTGTGTTGTGGTGTATGCCTTTCAAATAATTCTCTGTTTTTAATTTTAACCACGTATTGACTCTTAGTTGTATTTTAAAAGCACATTTCATGCACTAAAAAGCATTTACTTAATAAATTGGCGTCTAATCACTGTTATCGTATTATTACTGTTAAACATACTTTCCACGAGATTCTCGGTCAAAGCCTTAGATAAAAACTTCCACATCTTCCGAAATTGCCAAGATAATTGCTTCAAAGTAAACATTCGTTTTTCTCAAAGTACTATCTTCATGACTCTGGCCAGATATTTTTAATTGAATTTATATCCAAAGGTTGTTTAGGCCAATCTATTCCAAAGTTGGCATTATTTTACCAACCCCACAAAAAAACCCAGGGGTTAAAAAATCCGAAATTTGTGGATTTTAGGTTTTATTGGAATTATATAAGAAAAATAACTTTTTTAATCGGAAACACATAAAAGAAACGTATTTATAAATATTTAATAAATATATGTATACTAAACTAACTGACTGAACTGATATAATTATAACATATCAAACCAATTTTAATATATGTACATAAAATAATATTATAGTATATATATATATATATATATATAGTAATATTTAATCTAAATTACATTTAAATATCTATAAAATATATAATATACATTTACCACTTTTAGACTGATTTTTTTATTCTACCCAAATAAATATTACATGAAAAAATATCAAATAATCAATTTTATATAAAAAAAAAACGTTCAAAAAACCCTCAAAAAAAATCAATAAAACCCAATAAAATCCCCAAAATATCTAGTGGGATAAGCTTTTTTAAAAAAGTTCGAGTTTTCTCCAAGCGTGATACATCTTGACGATGTCATTTTCTCATTTGTAAAAATCCCATGGAAAGTATGACGTCAAGCTACAATCAATAACGATGTTTGGACGTCACACTAACAATAAATAAATTTAGTATATATGTGTAATGTGTTTTAAAAATATAACTTTAACTTTTAATTTATTATTAATTCTTTGAAAGAATTGCTGTTCGTGTGTTAGTGACTAAAAGCAAATAAATAAAAAAACATCAGTCATTGCTTGTGCTACTATTTTGCACAGGAGGCGAGGAGGTAAATAATTTTCTTAAAAAAGATTACTCTAAATCATATTACAAGAATTAAATATTTTATTGCTAAATCACAACCAATATTGCTTATGTGTAGATAAGTTGCATTGTGTAAAAATCGTCTTGATATAATAAAAAAAATTTATTATACTTATGACGTGAAAATATTAACGATAACAGGGACTAATATATATTCGTGCATTAAAATTAAAGAAATCTATAATCATCATGTGGAAAATCATATTATGCACGGTCATGGGCCTGGTGACCGCCGAACAGACTACTTTTGACGGTTACAAAGTCGTCAAAATTAATGTGACTACAAACGGGCAGGTTGAATTACTCAATCAGATGGTAAAGGATCCTGATCATGTGAGTAGATTGTTCAAGCATAAAAATAAACGCAAATTAATATACTTTGTGCAAAAAGTTACTATTTTTATGAGATTTGTAATGATCATATTAACTAAAATCCGAAAAAAAGATTTGTATTGATCATATTAGCTATAAGATAAAAAAAAATTAACTTCATAAAAACAAGATAATGTATGCAAATTTCTAAAATTCATATAATCAGTTTTTTACTTACAAAGGACTCCATACAGATAAGTTGCTATTTTGGATCTAATCGAACTGAAAAATATCTTTATCTACTATTTATTTTTTAGTAATTGTACCTTAGTAGGTATTTTTATATACACAGAATAATAAGATATAAATCAATAATGTAAAGAAAAATTGATGTAAAGAGAACACATAATAAAATATCACAGTTTCAGTCAAATTGACTGCAGCCATATGACTATAGTGTGAAGTCCCTTATAACATTATTTATTTATAATATTTAGAAAATATAAAACTTGATAAATATGTAACTATTTTTTAAAACTAATATTATATTTTAAATAAACAAAATTAAACATCGTTTACAGTTTTCCTTCTGGAGAGAACCATCTGCAAATAAACAACAGGCGGAACTTATGATAGCCCCGCAGAAACTGTCCGAATTCTACGAATTGATAGCACAGATCCAAGCACCCTATAAAGTTTCTATTGAGAATGTTCAGACATTAATCAATCAAATAGCAACCGCAAAAGCATCAGAAACATTTGATTTCACAGAGTATCATACTCTCGATACAATTTACGAGTATCTAGACGACTTGGAAAAGAAATATCCCGACATAGTACAAACTGTCGTGGCCGGTAAATCATATGAGGGTCGTGAAATTAAAGGTGTCAAGATTTCCTTTAAACAGAATAATCCTGGAGTATTTTTCGAGAGTGGCATGCACGCCAGGGAATGGATCGCGCCGGCGACTGTTTTGTATATCTTGGATCAATTGCTGACCAGTAACAATACAGACGTCAGAGATTTAGCTGAGAGTCACGATTGGTATATCTTCCCAGTATGCAATCCCGATGGATACGTGTATACGCACACCACGGTAAGTACGGTTTTTAATGTCTAACGCTGCTCTTCCAATCATCGGACCAAAAAAATAATGACGACTTCTTATTGATAAAAAGTAACCTATTGTTCGATTGATTAAAGTAGTAACAAAAATTAACATTTTTAGTTATATTTTCAGAGTAATTATACGGTTATTTAAAAAACAACATTTATTTATACTTTCTACCTTTGGATAGACTAACATAAAGGTTGTCATTTTTTTTGACATACCAAAAAAAAGATGACAAAAAAGTGATCAAAGTTAGTAAATATTAGCGCTGATGAAAACATAAAACATTCAATAATTTATAAATTAATGTTTAATTACATGAATATTTTTAATTTATTTCAGAACCGAATGTGGAGGAAGACACGTAAGCCATACGGTGACGACTGTTATGGCACTGATCCTAACAGAAACTGGGGTTACACATGGAAAAGTAAATTTATATTACATAAAAAAAAGTAAAAAATTGAATATATAGTATCTAATAAAAAGTCGAAATTATCTTATGAACTTTGGAGAGCTTATGATATTAAGATTAGAATTCGATATTTCTGAATATTTATTATATTTATATATACATATAATTTGGTATCTTTAGGTGCAGATAATGACAGTGGCCCATGCACTGAGACCTACCCTGGACCTGCGCCGTTCTCCGACATTGAAATAAAAAGTATATCCGAATATATCAAATCCATTTGTGACAAATTTTACATATACCTCTCATTCCATAGTTACTCGCAATTATTAATGTTCCCTTATAGTTACACAGTAGAACACGTTGACAACTACAACGACTTGGTGAGTAATTTTAATTATAAGACAAATATAGCTTTGAGAAACATATAATAAAATAATTATGTATAAAAAGAAACAGTATTAAATTGATAAAATATTGTAATTGTTATTACTGTATTTATCAATGAAATAATACACTGAAAAAAGTTCCTAGTTATTAGCCATCAAATATTGAGTGAAATAATTTCAACTAAACGTTCCGGTAATATAACTAAACATAATTTTACTTTTACAAATATTTATATTTTTAGTAAGTATTATCGTTGGTAATACCGTTTGGTACACTGAGAAAAATAGTCTGGTTGGATTAAATAGTAACTCTGGTGAAAAATGGACGAATCAGAATTTTCTGGTTATGTCTATTAGAATTCTAGTTGAGATAACTAGAATTCTGATTAATATAATTATTCTGGTAAAAATAAGAATTCTAGTAGATTTTACTAGAAATATAGTATCAACCAGAATTCCGATTATCTCAACTGGAATTCTAATAAATTTAACCAGAAATTTCTGATTCGTCCATTTTCAACCAGAAATTTTTTTCAGTGTACTTATACTTTAATACTTACTAAATATTTGTAAAGGTAAAATTATGTTTAGTTATATTACTTCAACATTGAGTTAAAATTATTTCATCACTCAATATTTATTAGCTATAATTAGACTCTTTTTTCAGCGTTACCTAAATTACGAGTCAACGCAAACATGATTATATACAGGGTGTCTCTTCATAATGTATATATCATAGTGCCAAAACTGCTACAGCGACTTCAGCACATAAAAAAAGTCAAAAATGTCGAATAAACATATATCCAATTTTGGTATAAAGAAACATCCTATGTATATAAGAAGACAATATTAACTCTTTTTACAAACTTAATAACAATTTAGTTTAGTGATTGATTCAATTCTACACAAAACAAATTTGAAGCAGTTCATGTTACCATTGCACTACATTTATCATTAATCTTCGTTGTAAAAATACAAGGTTTTATTGCCCATAATGACGGCTAAAAATAATTTGAAGTTAATTTCTGATTGATGACAAATTTCGAATACCAGCTTTATATTGTTTGTAAATGAGGCAAATTTTTAATCTGATTGGTCATCCCACTACATATCTATAAGGGAATATGGTCTTCTTATATAATGCTTAATATAATTATTTATAAGAAATAATTTGAAACATCGTATATGAATAATGAAACATAAAAAGTTTACATAATTTTAACAATTTTTTAGAATGACATTGGCTTGAAAGCGAAGATAGCTCTCGCTAAGAGATATGGAACTAACTACACTGTCGGTGATATTGCCGAGACAATATGTATGTACAAAAATTTTTATTTATTTTGTCTTCTCTCCTCCTCCCCCCCCCCCCCCCCCCCCTCCCTCTCTCTCCCTGCATTAAGTAAATGAATTTTCTCTCTTCATTTTTAAGCATAAACTGTATGATTATCTGTTCTTCTTGCAATCATTGATGTCTAAAGAGTCGAGCATATTAATTATAATTACCCACTCTCTTTACTTAATCTTCTTTTGTTTAATTCTTTAATAAACGAAACAAATCTTTATATATGCTAGTTATTGCGATAAAATAGCATCACAGTCTCAGCAATCATTGGTTAAGACATTCATCACGTCACTGTGGTAAAGAGGTTCAGATCCTGGTGTAGATGATATTTTCGCAATAAATTATTTACAGCTTTTTAGGATACTTATTAGCATCAATACGCCATTTCAGTTTAAGATTGCGAAAGACTAAAATTGATTTCGGCGTGCAATTGTAAAACTGGATGTATAAAAATTCATACCGAAATACTATTTAAGCATTAAAATCCAATTCAGACCAATAAAGCTTTTTCGTTACTTATTGTGTTACACATATTGTGCGTATTTACATCTATCTATCTATCTTGTGTTTAATTCTCTATCTTGTCTATTATCTAAATACTGTTTATGTTTCTCGAATGGTTTGTTGTAAAGAATCCCTTCTTTCTATTATAAAAGCGTTGTAAAATTGCAACAATTATTGCATTTCTAGTTTAAGAAAATTTGAATTGTGTTAAAAAATATGATGCTTTAGACTTATTATTTTTATACTTAGATGTGGTTCTTATTATTTTTAGATACAGCTTACGGAAGTTCTCTAGATTGGGTCAAATTTGCTTGTGGTACACCTATCCTATTTGCCTATGAATTACGTGATCAAGGTGAATATGGCTTTTTGTTGCCCCCTGAGCAAATTATCCCGACTGGAGAAGAGACTTTGGATTCTATCTTAGCCATGCTAAAAGAGGCAACTGTACTTGGATATTCATAGATGAGTATGGAAAAATAATTAAAGTTGCCCAAATTTCGTATAAACATTATTATCGATAGCACATTCTTATATTTGATGACCTGTTAATTTGTCCTACAATATTATTTACATCATTTATAATAAAATAATAAATTTTAGTCTTTCCATTCTTAATAATATATGATGTTTCAAATTAAAAATTAAAGATTTGAAAATATTATTGAGAGAGAGAGAAATACATAGTATAAAAATGATACATTTTTCTATATTCCCATTTAAGAATTTTCCTATTCCATCTCAATAGTCTGTATTCAGAACTGGCTAGCTCGCGTATAAATATACGAAACGATCTCGCATTATATTATAAGTTTGAGACACTACGTGCTTCTTGATGTCTGAAACAAGCCTACATCTCAACGATTAAGTTTCCGTAAAATAAGGTTACCCAGAGGACTTGCTTAATCATAATTTAAATGTCTACGAAGAGAAATTCGTGTTGTACTGAAGAGAGACTCGCAGACTCGCAATTACTTTGCGCACATATTATGACAACATACCTACTGCATTTCCAAAAAGATTGATAATATCATCGTGATACTAAGTTTTCGACTTTACTTATGTTGTATTGTACACATCTTTTCTGAAGATAAATGAAAAATAACTTTTTCCATTTGACTGTAAGTAGCGAGTCACTCTATTTGTAATTAAACAGAATTTGAGGAATATACGATCGAACCCTTTCAAAATCATTTATAACGTTAGGCAAAGATCGTTGAGAGAAAGGATTTACTGGAGTCAAACGATTTGTAGAGCTATTTTTATTCAGCGATTTCGGTGAGTCCGAGATTTAGCAGAGTCCCGTCAATTTTTACCAGTGCTTTGTAACGCGTATTCGTAAAGAACGTTCTTTTCTTTTTGATAGCGCGTATATCTTATCGAAAATAAAATGGATCGTGGCCAAACGCGATGCGCGCATGCAGGGAGTTGCCGAGGAAAAATCATAGCGTTCGTTTCGTCTTTATGGTGATGATGCAGGTGATTTAAATTGTAGACTGTAGCACATGCATTAACAAAATTACACCCATTACTAATCCAAGGGATTTCCTTATCGGAATACGCGGAATAAAAACGATTTTATCCGCGTCGCACGTATAAAATCTATATGCAAACGCGTGTCTATCACTTTTATTTATTTATTTTTTTAATTAAAGATATTATTATTTGCGTTTTATTTTTACAAAGTAGTTTACAAATATTAATAATAGTTATTTTAACAAGTTATTTTTCGAGAAATGCATATACTTAAGTCCTTTTTATTTTTTTGTTTAAAGGAGATTATTTTTATGATTAGATATTACGAAATGGAATTGGCAAAACAAATAATGCGAGAGCCGCATCTCGTTGAAATCTTTGAAAAGTGCGATATCGCGGTGATAAAACGGCAAGTTTTAATTTACCAGGAAACGAGGGCCACACACAACACACACCTGGAAACGAAATACAATGGTGCATTGTCCGCGCGCGCGAGTGTCGGATTTAATCACGGATGTGCCCGCCTTTGTCAATTTCCATAGTTCGATTCTAAGCTATCCACGGCGTACTCGCCCACGGTCTGGGTCGTGTATACATCGATGCATCTGGTAAAACGCGGTTCGTCGCATCCGGTCTACATTGCCGTACGTGCGGCGCGCGTCCAAGGAAATGCGAGCCACTAAATAGCCGTGTAACGCGGATCTTACATAACGCTAATGGCAGTGGCGATCACTGTCACGCGACTCCTCCTTGGAGTGATTTACTCGCGGCATGCAATAAATTGACGTTGCCTTCGATCTTTTAGCTCGACTCTGATAAAGTTATCTTGCTTCAAATACGTAAGCGAGCACATGAGATTTGTACGAAGATTTGTATCATATAACTGAAACATTGTAATACAATCTGTTGTATGTCATATAGTATCAGTTGTATGTCATATATAGTATATATTAGTAATTCAAGATTGAATTATTTAAAGCAACGAAGATCCAGCTTCGACCGTAATAGGCATCTTAAATTTCTAGTATTGATTGTCTTCAACACACTGAAAGGAGAGAGAGAGAGAGAGAGAGAGAGAGAGAGAGAGAGAGAGAGGGAGAGAGAACAGGGAGAAAAGGAAGAATGTTTGAGCATTATATAACTAAAATACTAATATTTGCACGTTAATGTCAATTTTCTAATACCATATTCATTGAATTTAAATACTAAAACAAGATTTAATTAGTTAGATCACAAATTAAAGATTAGCTAGGTTAGGGATCTCACATTTAATTCACTGATTACCAGTGGCATACTTGGCACTGTTATCAGTGATTATCTATTGATTCAGATTTAGGGAGGGTGTTTAAGGCTTATTCATTAACGTTAGTTGCATCCGATAAAAGAGAGAAAATTAAAGCAATTGAGTGAACCGCAAAATAAGTTGTCTGAATGTCGCTTTAAAGAAAAGAGTCGCAGAGCAACTTGTTTACGCGTTCACGAATTTCATGCACGCGGTGGCCTGAAAAAGAAACTCGAGGACATCGATGACATTGCCGAAGCTTCGTTGGCCCACGTAATAACGGTATATAGCTGTACCTTTCACGTGCGCACATGCTTTTAACCACGATACGATAAAATCGGATGGAGAACAATGCGCAGCGATAAGTAGTCTCGTGTGTGTGTGTGTGTGTATTGACCAAAGGTATTTTTAAGTGTGAGTTGATAAGAACAGAATTGATACTAGTGATTCTTCGTGCACATCTACCGAGGATAAAACCGTTCTAACGTTTAAAGTACAATTAGAGCGTGAAAAATGCTCTCCTGAAATTAAGTAATAAAAATTTAATGTCATATGGAGAAGCTTACGATTTCCGCAATGTCACTCGGCAATGCGTACGAAATGCTCTACCGGATTTACTGAAATATCGTAGAATGCAAACTTCAGGGAAGTTTCGAGACAACAACCGTTTCGACAACAATGTCAATAACAAGTCCACTTGGAGAATTCGCGAGAAAACTTCTCTTAATTCCGCTTCCAAGTTTTGCGTTTCAGAATACGCATGTGTACTAGTACAGTACAGGTGCTGCAGGTCACAGCACTTCCGTAGAATACTCGAAAAGTTTGAAGGGGGGTCTAGGGCCTGATTCTCGACAAGTTCGTTTGAGATGGATACGAGCTATTGCGAAAATAGAGAGAGAGGAGAGGGAGAAGTAATCGGCGTTACGAGAACGAAGCCGTAGTATTGCGCATAAGAGACGTCGAAGGGACGGAAAATACCACTCTATGTACTTATATATGACATCTCGATCGATATCACGAGTCGCAGGTAGCTTTGTTTGTGACTCCTTCTTTTACAAGTCTCGACGGATGGATGAATCAACCATCCCCCTCCCACCAAATATGACGGAGATAAGATACTGAAAAGAATGTTGAAGAATGCGCTGATGAATCCGAGATAGTAGAAATCACCTCATGATCATCGATCAAAAACCCGAAGCAATCACAAATGGACATCGCTTTACATCTGAGAAGGAATTCCAGAAGGAATTTTCATTCAATCTGATTGAACGCTTGATAAAAATGATATTTGTTCAGCATAAAGGAGCGATCGAAACGAAAAACTTTTGCATTCGTCGCAAAAAGAACGAAATCTTTTGGCACTGCGCAAAGCTGGTGCGTTCACGAAGAGAAAAGGAGTCGTGTCGTAGAGCAGCATATATGCATATTTCGTTGAAAGTATCAAGAGCAACGTGAGAACAGAAGTCACGTTCCGTGTGATTATCACACTCGGCTTTCGAACCGTAATCTGTACGTAACGTTATAGCAGGCTATCGGTGAAATCCGATCGCGGTGTATTAATTACGCATCGGTGCGCGTTTTATTTCTCCTTTTTTTTTTATACGAGTCGACTCAGCGAAAAATACACGCTCGCGATAAAACCGATTCCAAGTGTACGATTGCGATGTGCATGCGTCACCAACGACGATAACGTTCGCCGAAGAGAGAGGCAAGTTATCGTTCATTCAGGCCCCATTGTGAATTCGTCTTGGCACAATCGCGTGAAATCTTCTGCGGCCTTAATCTCGAAAAGTATATATCGTATACGAAAATACTACACTCCGAAAAATATAGGTGTGAATTTAACACTGTACGGTTTTATCAGAAACATCAGAACTTGTATAAAACTTGTGAGAAAAAGATCTGGAGTTAGATGAAAATTTGGTAAATTCAACCGATATAACTGTTCAAAAATGAACGAATCAAAATTCTTGTAGAAATTATCAGACATGCAAGATTAATTCTTTCCTGTTAAATACACAGCATTTCTTATTGATGGTTTTTTTTGATTGAGCTCTAATCAGCTTGCAATCAGCTAAGTGCACATAAATCTATACAAATTTTGATATTTCTGATAATATTTCAAGTGCTGTTACATTAATATTGTTTTGGAATATGTAACTTCCAGGAATTAAAAACAGAACTAAAAAACTATATATACTACACTAAAAAAACTTTTGATTCAAGATAAACAAACTAGTAGATTCTGATGATATCAGAATTCCGGTTATCACAATGAGACATCTGGTTATCTCGATTACTGAATAACTAGAAGTTTTATAAATTCCAACTGGAAAATATCAACTAAATCCATATAGTTGAGTCTATAAAATGTTCCAGTTAAAAAAATATCGAATCCTATTATGATAACTAAAAATTTTGCTACACTAAAAGAAAAGATTGGTTGCTGCAACAAATTAGATGGTTAAGTATGACATAGCATTTTTAATTGGTTGCAACAACCAATCTTTGGTTGCTACAGCCAATTAAAAATGCTATGCCATATTTAACCATCTAATTTGCTGCAATAACTAATCTTTTCTTTCAGTGTAGGTTTCATCAAAATGCATTTAACTGTATATACATATTGTTGATATAATCAAACCATTTTTCTCAGTGTATATATTATATAAATTTTCATATGCAACATGGATTCAATATAGTCCCTGGACGCTACTAAAAGTAGTTAGTTGGCCACGACATCAGTGGATATAATAAAATGCGAGTCTACCGAGCGTCATAT